AGGGAAATGCAATCAAAATCATATGATTTATCACTTCACATCTACTAGAGTAGTTACAGTCAAAAAAAGAGAAAAATAAGTATTAACAAGATATGAAGAAACCAGAATTCATATACTGCTGGTGGGAATGTAAAATGATACAACTACTTCAGAAGACAGTCTGGTAGTTTCCATATCATTTATCAAATTCACTTCTAGGTACATACTCAAATGAAACACATGTCTACACAAAAAAATGATATAAGAATGTTCACAGAAGCAACAGTCACAATAGGCAAAAAGTATAAACAACCCAAAGGTTCACTAATGGAAAATTATTCAGCAATAAAACTGAAGTACTGATAGATGCTATAAAATGAATGAGCTTTGAAAATGTTAGGTTAAAGAAGCCAGTAGAAAGTTAAAAGGTGGGTGGGTGTGGGTAACAGGAAGTGACAGCTTAATGGGCATGGGGGGTCCATTTTAGGAAAATGCTCTAAAATAGGTTGCAGTGATGGCTGCACAACTCTGTGAAAATACTAAAATACCACTGGATTGTACATTTTAAATGAATGAATTGCAGAATATGTGAATTACATTTTAGTAAAGCTGTTATAAAAAAGATTTCTATATCTTCCTTTTGAAAGAAAATATCTTTCAAAAACAATGATAAATATCTATTTTTTTTAACAGATTTTATTTATTCATTCATGAGAAACACACACAGAGAGAGACAGAGACATAGGCAGAGAGACAGGCAGGCTCCACAAAGGGAGCCCAATGTGGGACTTGATTTCAGGACCCCAGCATCACGCCCTGGGCCGAAGGCAGGGGGTTAACTGCTGAGCCACTCAGGCATCCTGATAAATATCTGTTTAAAGCAAAAATTATTATTATTACATGTATTACGATTTTTAACACATACTGAGAATTATAGGTCAAAGGAACAGAATAGAATATCCAGAAATAAATCCACAATCATATGGTCAATTCATCTTCAACAAAGCAGGAAAGAGTATCCAATGGGAAAAACAGTCTCTTGAAATGGTGCTGGGAAAACTTATCAGCTACATGCAAAAGAATGAAATTGGACCACTTTCTTATACCATACACAAAAATAAACTCAAAATGGATTAAAAACCTAAATGTGAGACAGGAAGTCACAAAAATTCTAGAAAGGAGCACAGGCAATAATGTCTCTGACCTCAGCTGTCACAACATTTTTCTAGATGTTTCCTGAGGCAAGGGAAATAAATGCAAAAATAAACTAGTGGGACTTTTGCACTGAAAGGCAACCTATAGAATGGGAGAAGATATTTGCAAATGCATATCTGATAAAGGGTTAGTATATAAAATATATAAAGAATTTATACAACCCAACATCCAAAAAAAAACCAAATAATCCAATAAAAAATGGGTGCAAAACATGAACAGACATTTCTCCAAATAAGACGTACAAATGGCCAGATAGATACATGAAAAGATGCTCATCTTCACTTATCATCACGGAAATGCAAATCAGAACTATAATTAGGTATTCCCTCATTACCTGTCTGAATGGCTAAGATCAAAAACACACAAAACAAGTGTTTGTGAGGATGTGGAGAAACTAGAACTTGTGTGCACTGTTGATGGGAATGTGCACTGGTACAGCCACTGTGGAACAGTATGGACATTCCTCAAAAAGTTAAAAATAGAACTATCCTACAATCCCCAATTGTACTACTGGGTACCTTAAAAAACACAAAAACACAAATTCAAAGGGATATACACGACCTAATGTTTACTGCAGCATTATTTACAAAAGCCAAATTATGGAAGCAGCCCAAATGTTCACTGACAGATGAATTCATAAAGAAGTGGCATATATATGCAATGGAATATTATTCAGCCATAAAAAGGAATGAAATCTTGAATCTGTTGAAATCTGCAACACATAGATGGAGTTAGTAAAATGCTGGGTGAAATAAGATACAAATGAAAGCAGGAAAGAGAATTAAAAGTAGAATTCACTGAATTAAAAATAGACAAAAGACAGGAGGAAAAACAAACTAATAAAACCAAAAGTTGGTTCTTTGAAAAGACTGGTAATATTGATACATTTCTAATAAGAGGGGAAGAAAAGACATAAATTAGTAATATAAAATCAAAAGAGAATACACCACTACAGAGATGCTACCGGCATTAAACCTCTGATAAGGAATTTTTTTTTTTAAGATTTTAATTATTTATTCATGAGAGACAGAGAGAGAGAGAAAGAGGCAGAGACACAGGCAGAGGGAGAAGCAGGCTCCCGATGCAGAACTCAATCCTGGGTCTCCAGGATCACGCCTTGGGCTGAAGGCGCCGCTAAATCGCTGAGTCACCTGGGCTGCCCATGATAAGGAATTCTATAAACAATCTTATGCCACCTTGGATGGAATGGACAAACTCTTTGAAAGACAAAAAAACCCCTATGCTTAATTAAGAAATCAAAAATCTATATAGCCCTGTATCTACTTTAAAATTTTAGACAATAGTTAAAAACCTCCTCACAAATAAAATTCCAGGTCCAAACGGTTTCATGGTGAATTATACCAAAATTTAAGAAAGAAATATTACCAATTTTGTAATTTACAAACTTTTTAGAAAATAGACTCAAGTCTGTGATGCCAGTTTTACTCTGATACTAAAACTAGCCAAAGACACTGCAAGTTAAAGAAAACTACAGACCAATATCCCTCAGGAATCAGAAATTCTTAACATTTCAGCAAAATGAATCCAGCAATATATAAAAAAACAAAACATTATGACCAAGCAGTGTTTATCCCAGAGATGCAAGTTTAGTTTAACACCTGAAGATCAATAAATTTTTTACTATATAAACAGACTTTAAAAGGAACCATATAATCAACCTCAACAGATAAAGAAAAATCACATGACAAAAATCAACATCCATTTTGGATACAAGGAAACAAGAATAGAAGGGAACTTCTCAATCTGATAAAGAGCATCTACAAAAACCCCAACAGCTAGCTATCATTACCTATTGATGAAACACTGGATGCTTTTTTGGGGTGATGAAAATGTTCTTTATCTTGACTGTGGTGGTGCTTAAGTGACTAGAGTTATCAAAACTCACTGAACAATTAAAATTGGTAAATTTCATCAATGAAGTTGAAATTTTAAGACTACCATAATAGCTTCTTCAAGGTTCTTTATGATTGATTATAACAGTAAAAGTACTCCTCATTTATACCACTACAAACAGTAAAACACAACTTTTAAATAAAAAAGTATCTGATATATATTTACATTGTTAAGTTGAACCTTCAAAAGAAAATGGTTAGGCTACAAGTGCATATTGAGAATTCGATATTGAACTCGAGCAACTGAGAATTTTCTGCTAAAACTCATCAGCATTAATCAGTAAAATCAAACAATATACTACCACCACCACCACCACCACCACGAAAGAACTGGGCTTTAATCTTCTATATAACTATTCTTGTGGTCTTATGGTACCTCAGTATACCTCTAACAAAGCACTTAAATATATAAATTACACGTCAGTTAACTGAATTAATTCAGATTGTGCTAAGAATTGGGGTAGAATTTCATTTTGTCTTACACTTGGAATTCATTCATTTTCCTTGTACCAAATCACTCAATTATCATGAAAATACTCAAGAAATGGGAATTTTTTAATTATAAAAATAAATGTACAAAATACTATTTTATTTTCTAATTACTAAAGACAATATTTCCTCATTTCTCAGTCATATCCATAAAGCCAAATTATATTAACTAGAGCAAATGAGAATTCTTTAAGCTCAAAGCAGAAAGTATTTTAAGAACCTTTGCAAAAAAAAAAAAAAAAAAAAGGACCTTTGTATTTCTACTATGTTAAAGATGGATAGAAATACAGATAAGAAATTTGGCTGAAATACACTTTGTTGAAGGAAAACAACAAATGAATAAAAGGGTATATCCAAATGTAGGCTCTATAAATTAATATTTATTAACCTTCCGGAAAGGAGAAGATATAGGCTATTTCAAATACAATACTAGTGGATAACAGTTAACAGTTACTGCCCCATATTCCACTCCTTTATTAAAACAGAAAGTCAGCACTTCTCACCAAGGAGAAAACCCCAAATGTAAAGAACTTAGCCGATAATCAGACTAAAAGGCTAAAGTGTATATCCAAGTAAAAATTAGCTTGACATTTTAGATAGGATATTGTGGTTTTGTCTTTTAAACAATGCTTACTTATCAAAGAAGATCATTAAGAACAAATAAAGATGGAATTAGTTCATATTTTCAAACCATTAAATTTTGTAGTCCATTCAATTACTGAGGTTTCATGATTAACTTAGATTTTAAAATGCACATAAACATGACAAAAATGATAAAATTCTACCTTTATTCCTTAACTTTGACTAGTCCAGCCCTCAGATGGTAGTTTACATTGGACAAAGTAAACATAACACAGGCTGGTTTTTAAAATAGGATATCTGTACACTCTTAAAAATACAACTCAAACCATATAAACCACATCAAGATAGTGCTGCTAAATAAACAGTAATATCTCAAACAAGCAGCCTTTCATACATTTATAAATATTGCTATGAAATTTAAAACAAAAAGTCATGTGTAAAATGGGTAATAATAATAGTACTAGACTTAAAAAACACTGAAAACTTTCAGATTTATCTATTTAAAGTCATAATTGATTAAATAGCATAATTTAATAATCAAGTTATTTTAAATTCCAGAATAAAGTAAGTAACATTTTAGCATTCGACTTACCCATTTATTCAAGAGAAGTCCAACAAAAACATTAATGGCCAACAACAAAGCTTTTTCAAATGTCAGTTATGTCTAGAGTTAATATTCAAGATAATCAATCCTAACACCTCTTTCATAACTTAGCTTTTATGAATCATGAAACATTTCACAAACTGTTTGGCAAAAGTGAAATTTTCAATTAAATTTCTTGCAATGAAAAAAAAATTCTTGCAATGATATTTCAGTCCTACCTGTATCTTCAATAAATTCCACACATTTTTCAACAAATAGTGGTATGGGCTTCTCAGCTGTAACCAGATCCTGGAGGGGCATTCCAAAGTAATTACTTTCCCAATTTCTACGTGTTGGTGGATTGAAGTTCTTAGTTTTCTTTTTCTGCTATAAAAAAACATATTCAAGTTAAAACTATTAAAATTGCCTTCAGAATAACATTAATATTCAGCAATGTAAATACACATCCAACCTAAATGACCATCAATGTGGGACTCAGTTAAATTCTGCTAGAAGTAACAACTTGAGCAATGGAAAGAGATAAAGTGAACAGAGAAAAAAATGACTAAAAGGAATGTTCCCTTTGGAAAATAATAGGAAACTGGATAGGTAGGGAAATTAGAAAAGGTCATTTTTCAATGCCACCTCAAAGGAAATGCTGGAAGTAATCAATGCTCAATTCAGTTTAGGTGTAGCCTCCCAATTCTATTTGGTCTTTGGGGCAGGTCCAAGTGAGATTTTTGTGTATAGCTATTTACTTATAAGAACATAATATAGCTTTAATTAATTATTGATTATACAATGAAACTATGTAACTTCATGAATTTTAGTCCCATCATCTGCCCCTTATTTTCCCATTTTCCTCCTATCTACTGATTCTATTTCTTAAATGTTAAGATAGTTTCCATAAGTAATGGATACATTTTTAGAAGAGTAAAAACAGAATAAAATACTAATTTTCAGAGTTTAATTTCAATCTAGCACTGGGAGAAAATGAGTTCTTTGCTAGGGAGTGAACATCTCAAAAATCTAAGGAGGGACTGTCTAGAATTCAACTGCTAAGAAGATTCTGAGTCAATTTTTCTGGAGTAGGATACTGTAGGGATTTCCAAAGATAATTCTATTATGCATCCCTAGTTGACAATTTCTAAAATATAGGAAGATGAGTAAATTTTCAGAAATTCAAAGATGTTAAGAGCATTTTTATTGACAGCTCTTCTCTTTTCAGTTTACCTACATTTTCTGATAAATCACAAACTTATTGAAATTTGTCATAAGTATCATTATTTACTTATTGTAAACAGGATAAAAACATATCATTTCTTACCAGAAAAGGGCAGGGGATGGGGAGGGTGCACAGGGAGAGTTTCCTATGCCTAAAGCAATACTCATCTTAATTTCCCATTCTTTCTGGAAGAGACTCTCCTTTGGATGGATCACCCAATGTATTCTTCCAAGTCTCTGGCTATCTTGAATAATTAACTAAGTTCTTTCTTCATCTCCATTTCAGGCTGCTCCATCTAGCAAACTTCCAGAGCTCATGAAATCAAGTTTCTAAACCCTCATGTACTATATCTCAATGATATGGCTTATATACAACCTTGGTATGTACAGATCACATGTAACATAACTAGGTGTCTGGAATGTTGCCAACAAAGCACTGGAATGTTCGATCTGGCTCAAGACCTAAACCCACCAAGTGGCATGGATCCTTACTCTTTAAATAATCCTTGCACTACCACCACCACCACCAAAACAGAACAATATGCAAGGAAGTGGAAATGAAGAAACTCTTAATTTCAAAACTGAGGTAGGATAGTAAGCCAAGTCCTCTTTCTTAGAAACAGTAAGGTACTTTCTAGCCCGCAAACTACCAGCTGCAAAATTTGACTAGAAAACTGAAAACTGAGGCATAGATGGATGTATTTTGTTTAGAGAGATGATATAGCAATGAGTAAGATTACACTTAATGAAAACAGCAATGCCTGGCCTATGACAGAAGCAAAAGGAATAAAGTGATAAGAAGATCTATTAAGATCTTTGCTACCAAAAGAACACGGTTATGAGAAAAGTAAGCTAGTTGGTCCTAAATGTTCCAGTTAACTCTTAAGAAAATCCTCTTTTTGGGGATCCCTGGGTGGCGCAGCGGTTTAGCGCCTGCCTTTGGCCCCGGGCGCGATCCTGGAGACCCAGGATCGAATCCCATGTCGGGCTCCCAGTGCATGGAGCCTGCTTCTCCCTCTGCCTGTGTCTCTGCCTCTCTCTCTCTCTCCGTGACTATCATAAATAAATAAAAAAAATAAAAAACAAAAAGATCTTAAAAAATTAAATAAATAAATAAATAAAAGAAAATCCTCTTTTTGCCTTTTAGGAAACAATCTGAACTCTCAGATGACTCTGAAAACATTCCAGCCTTATCCTTGGGATCATAGGAAAGAAGAACATAATGGGAGTGTAAATTTTATTTAGTAAGAACTGAATACTTGGGGCAGCCCGGGTGGCTCAGCGGTTTGGCACCGCCTGCGGCCCAGGGTGTGATCCTGGAGACCCGGGATCGAGTTCCACATCGGGCATCCTGCGTGGAGCTTGCTTCTCCCTCTGCCTGTGTCTCTGCCTCTCTCTCGCTCTCCCTGAATGAATAAATAAATCTTTTTTAAAAAAGAAAAAGAACTGAATACTTGACTAAAATTGGGAAGGTGAAGACAAGAAAGTAAAATAAGGTAGATTATCTGGCTTATGCTCAGGGAACATTCCCACAAGGTCTATAAAATTACAAGGGCAAATTATTTAATTCTGTGGTTATACCAAGATTCAGGGCTAGTAATCTATAGTAATGAAAGGCTAAGTGTCTTGTAGCATAGAATTTCTGGCAATCTCTAAAGGGATAATTTGCTAACAAAGAACTGCCTTGACAGCTCAAGTTATAATTCATATATATTAGGAGGAAAAAAACGTTTAAGTTCTGTGATTTTACTAATTTTTCTACTAACACTGGTATAAAAGAATATTCTATTCAGAGAAAGTTTTGGATTAGCTTTTATGATGAATAAAAATGTATAATTCCTTTTTCTAATAGTGATAGTTCTTAATCATCAGAATTCTGAGAGTTCTTCTAAAATATGTAAATTTTGAAAAACTCTACATAATTTTGATATACATCCCTTAGTTAAGAGTTGCTGATCTATAGCTATACATTTATATCAATTCAAAATGAATTTTGTAAGCTAAACTATCTAAGGCTAGATGATTACAACTGTTATAAAATGCCATCAATTCTCAGAAAGCCAAGAAAAAGATGAGGAGTATGGCTATTTGATAATTTATTTCCATAGGTTTTGAAGAACCATTGTCAGAAATGGCAGCCCCCAATTAAATAATTATGCCAGCAGGAAAACATCTGATTTCTAATAACCCAACTTTTGACTCATACTACAAATGAATATCCACAGTAAAATAAACATCTAATTCACAAATAATGTACACAATGTTATCAATTAAGTGTTCAGCAGACATTAAAAACTATCATTAGTATAAGAAAACAGGATTGGGAAAAGGTACACCAATAGCTTTCTAGAAAGAGCTGCCTTCCCACTTCATAGTTACATCAGCAACCCAACAAGGGAGGGCATCTAACATCCTCAAAAAATACTGTAATCAGTAACATTTAAAAAAACATAATATTTCAACTGCTTCTTTTGTAAGCAACAAACTGAGGGGAAAAAAAAGTAGCAAAAAGCAGTTGAGGAGGCTTTCAAAGAGCCAATCCAGGAAACAAGAACATGATCTTCTCTAAGATGGGATTCTCAGAGGGGGAAAAAAAAAAAAGGTCAAAGAAATGAGACAACATGAAGCAAACTGTAAAGAAACTGGAGGGAAAAAAACTCATTAAAGAAATGAAAATCTCTCTAGTAAAAGACTCAATATAACTGAAAGATCAGAATACAGTGAAAAAGATCATCAGAATTCCCCTTTCTACTCTATCATTCTTACAACATATTCCAAAAAAATACTCTTTTGCTTCCATTTTTAAAGTCTCAATCGTCCTCTCCTTGGCTATTTGCCCCATAATGCTACTCCCTTTTGCAAACTCTGCAGAAGCCATATTCATATATATACATATCTTAGATGTTTGCAATTTCTTCTTATATGTATTCAAATTATTCTACCACCCTCATCACTCCACTAAATCTGTTCTTATTAAGGTCACCAATGACTGTTTTGCAATAATTAATTCCCAACTTTCATTTTACTTGACCTTTCGGCAGTCTCTTTCTTTCTTCACTGGACTTTGAGAACACCGCCTCTATTATCTCACTCACTCTCCCCTTACTAGTATTCGCTCCTGGATGCTCTTAGCCAGCCTTGTAAATGGGAATACCCCAGGCCTCAGACCCTGACTACCTTTTTTTCCCTCAACATCTATACCCACTCTCTTCATATTGTCCTCTATCTGCTGATAACCCAAATAACTTGCAGCTCAGCTCTTTCTCCTGAACTCTAGACTCATTTGAAACATTCTACTGGACATCTTAACTTGAATGCCTTAAGAAAGATCTCTTTCTTAACATCTATAAAACTAAACTACTGATGATTTCCTTAAAATATTCCCCAACTGTGTCCTTATCCATCTCAGATGCTAACAATTCCATCCTTTCAGTAGCTCAGGCTAAAAAATCTTGGGAGTTATCCTTGACCCCCTCTTTTTCTCTCATTCTACTTTCAACTGTAAAGCAAATGTATTAGATATAGAATGTAATTCTTAAAGCTATCATTTCACACAGCTAGATTACATTAACTGCTCAATCCATCCCCCAGGTTCTACCACCATCTCCTCAGACCATTCTCAATAAAGAAGCCAGAAAGATAGCAACTCCCGAAATAGCAGCCTACAAGGCCGTATACAATCTGCATGCCTTGAACTCTGCCTCTTTGTATTCCAACTTCATTTCTCTCTACTTTCATCATCATTTACTCCTTTTGTCCAGCCACATGGCTTATTTGGTTTTTAACATGCCAGGTATCCTTCTGACTTAGAGAGCTTTTTTATACTGGTGGTCCCCTTCATGATTTCTATGAGGCCTACAGTGACTACTCAAACAACTGTAATCCTAGTCCCTGCCCTTCTAGCTGTTGCCCAGCATTCCCAATCCTTTTTACTACTGTTTCTATCTACAACGCTACATTCTTTACTTATGTGTTGTTGTTATTCCTCTTATCATTATTTGGTATCCCCTGCTACAATTTAAGCTCCACACAAGGGCAAGGATTTTAATCTGCATTGTTCATCACAACATACTCCAAGGAGTAGGGAATACTGCCTGTAAAAAAGAGCAAAGTACAAAGGGATTTGAGGTCTCTTCTGAAATAATGAATGCCAATATGTTTAT